GTAACTGTAGAAAATTATTCCTTTCGTATGTATGTAAGTAAGTTTATTCAGGTATACACAAATACAGTTACATAGATTATCATACATAACAACATACGTGTAGAGAACCTAGGATAACCCAAAAAAGTCAGTGTGACTTATTTCCATTGCCTTCACTCAGAGCTTCATTTCTTCTCAAAATGATGTTACATGAGAATGGGAGTGTTCTTCTTTATTAATTCTACCGTATCAATGTAGAGACAACCTGTACACAATGTAACTTGTACACAAACCAGATGTGTACACTTCGTTTGTTTACAAAACTTACCTTCGCCTGGTTTGTTTACATAACTCTGCGCCTGCCCCCTCTCATGTACTCATTCTTTCTCTCTCTCATTTATTCGTTTTATCTCATTTACTTACTCCTGACCCTACATTAAGACTACAAATATTTTAAGGTAAGTAATGAGTGAACTGTATATACATTTTATCGCTCTGAGATGCTTAAATATCATAGAATAGTATGTGTGGGTGGGGTGGCCTGGTAAGGTAGCCTGGCTATTACCATACGTACCACACTTGATTTCTTACAATAAATACTACTTGTCTCACCCTAGATTAAGACTATAAATATTTTAAGGTAAGTAATGAGTGCACTATGTGTGTATTGTACTTTTTTATTGTTTTTTGATGCCTGGTTCTATTGCTAACTTAATATATGTTAGTGTAAACTTGTTATCTAGTGTTTGTATGCATTTATAAGTGGAAAAAAAGGGTGTTCCACTTTACGGCGATTTCTGCTTTACGGCGGTAGCCTGGAACCTAACCTGCCGTATAAGTGGGGCCCTCCTGTATACCACTACTAATATTATTATTATTATTATTATTATAATGATAGAGCTTCAGTTTCCTAAATTAATAATAATAATTATAATTATGGAAAATTTTATAGGGGGTTACCTGTATGTACCTCAACATTATATGCATACAAGTAATCTCATTGGGAGACAACAGCCATATTGTTTACCGTAGTCACCTCGTGTAGACATGTGAGAAAACTTAACCACCCCTGGTCCCTGCAGGTGGTCCCTTCGGCCTCACAGTCTTATCCATATTTATCCGAGACCAGTATAAATTGGATAGCACCCACAAGTACGGCGCTACTAATTAATTGTGGACTGTATAGATTATATTAGTTTAACTGAATGAAGGGGGGGAGGGAGGTAGGTTACACATGGATATATCCATCAAGGAAAAAACACTTGTATATAATACCACCACTTACCAGATATTCTCTGGTGGTCACTTGATGTAGCTGGATCACCCCCAACCTATCCAGTTACAACATGCCTAACTGGCCAGTATCAGTCTGCTATAACTAGAAGGGTTACTTAACTGTGGGTGATTGATGCTCCTTATTTCCTCCATTCACTATCTCATTTCGATGTCCTGCTACACCGACACGGTTCTTATTCCAGCAGGACGAGGTATCCGTTGGTTTGTCCCAGTTTAGAAGTCGGGAATCCATAAAAACTTCACTATCCTCGGGACAGGAATCACGAGGACTCCGCATGTTCATTCGGAGTAAGGCGACTTATTTCACTTTATACATGCTCTTAACTTAGTGTTATTATCAGCAATTACATTACAATTCACACGACGATTTACTGTCTCATAATTATTATGCACGTTAGAGGTCGCTCCATTAAGATCTGAGACTGATGAGTGATGATTAAATCACGGGTATTTTCCCCTGGACACCCTCCATGGCGTCGCACCAGCCACCGCCGGTCCTACCATTATTCACTAATTTTACCACTTTATTACGGTGGTCCCGTAAATCACGTTCCCTCACTCTTCACCAAGGACAGTTACGACACTTCCTATTATGAAGTGAGGCCTATATTAGTCCTTAGGCCGCCATGAATGCCAATTTCCTGGTCCCATGCTTTCCCAGGCTCTTAACTCCATTCAAAAACACTCCCGCTCCTCGATGCCCCATCTCGACCTCTCCCCCCGCACATCCGCACAGGCGCAGAGGGAACCCTGTTTGTTCTATTCCATTTTCAAATTCATTTTTTGACCCAAATCAACATTAAACACTTATTAGGCACTATAGCTTCAGAAATTAAATAATTTCCACAATAATAATGATAGAGCTTCAGTTCCCTAAATTAATAATAATAATAATAATAATAATAATAATAATAATGCATAATACATATGTAATAATTCAGATTGCTTCTGCTAGTTGGCACAGCTGGTAAGCAGTAAACATGTTTACATCCCTGTGAGGGGCAGTTCTCTCATACTTGTTTGCATTTTTTTCAGTCATTTGGCCAAATTTCTTTTGTCTAACCATGGGTCCTAGTGATCTAATGCAGTTAGCCTCAGAAATACTCCATTTTCTCTTACAGTAAGAACATGGGAAGATACTATGGTCAAATTGTGACAGAAATGGCCTACGCTTCTGCCGCTGCCACTACCTCTGCCTCCATATTATGGCTTATTTTATTCATTCTAGAGTACATATCATGTTTCTGTGCTAATTATATTGTTTATTATGTCATATTAGATGAATTGTGATAGATAAATAAGCTGTTAAGTTGATAATAGCATCATATTCAAGTATTTTTTCTCGTCTCTCCAGAGTGCAGGAACGAATTAATGGCTTTTCAATTGATTTAAATGAGGAAAATCAATTTGATATACGAGTAAATTGAGTTACGAGCTAGCTCCTGGAACGGATTAAACTCGTAAGTCAAGGTTCCACTGTGTGTAGCTGTATATGCAGTGATTTCTGTATATTCTGTATATGTAGTGATTGTTGTATATTCTATATATGCAATGATTATTGTATATTGTGTATATACAGTGATTACTGTATATTCTGTATATGCAGTGGTTAATGTATATACAGTGGAACCTCAAATATCGAACTTTCTTCAGTCCAGAAGGCTGTTCGAGTGCCTTTACCGAATGAATTTATTCCCATCAGAAATAATGTAAATTAGATTAGTCCATTTCAGACCCTCAAAAATACACTTATAAAAGCACTTACAAAAATACACTTTCATAATTGGTCGTGTTGGGAGCAGTTCGATTTTTGAGGGTACTGTATATCAAATGATTACTGTTTACCTGGAGTTTACCTGGAGAGAGTTCCGGGGGTCAACGCCCCCGCGGCCCGGTCTGAGACCAGGCCTCCTGGTGGATCAGAGCCTGATCAACCAGGCTGTTGCTGCTGGCTGCACGCAAACCAACATACGAGCCACAGCCCGGCTGATCCGGAACTGACTTTAGGTGCTTGTCCAGTGCCAGCTTGAAGACTGCCAGGGGTCTGTTGGTAATCCCCCTTATGTGTGCTGGGAGGCAGTTGAACAGTCTCGGGCCCCTGACACTTATTGTATGGTCTCTTAACGTGCTAGTGACACCCTGCTTTTCATTGGGGGGATGGTGCATCGTCTGCCAAGTCTTTTGCTTTCGTAGTGGGTGATTTTCGTGTGCAAGTTCGGTACTAGTCCCTCTAGGATTTTCCAGGTGTATATAATCATGTATCTCTCCCTCCTGCGTTCCAGGGAATACAGGTTTAGGAACCTCAAGCGCTCCCAATAATTGAGGTGTTTTATCTCCGTTATGCGCGCCGTGAAAGTTCTCTGTACATTTTCTAGGTCGGCAATTTCACCTGCCTTGAAAGGTGCTGTTAGTGTGCAGCAATATTCCAGCCTAGATAGAACAAGTGACCTGAAGAGTGTCATCATGGGCTTGGCCTCCCTAGTTTTGAAGGTTCTCATTATCCATCCTGTCATTTTTCTAGCAGATGCGATTGATACAATGTTATGGTCCTTGAAGGTGAGATCCTCCGACATGATCACTCCCAGGTCTTTGACGTTGGTGTTTCGCTCTATTTTGTGGCCAGAATTTGTTTTGTACTCTGATGAAGATTTAATTTCCTCATGTTTACCATATCTGAGTAATTGAAATTTCTCATCGTTGAACTTCATATTGTTTTCTGCAGCCCACTGAAAGATTTGGTTGATGTCTGCCTGGAGCTTTGCAGTGTCTGCAATGGAAGACACTGTCATGCAGATTCGGGTGTCATCTGCAAAGGAAGACACGGTGCTGTGGCTGACATCCTTGTCTATGTCGGATATAAGGATGAGGAACAAGATGGGAGCGAGTACTGTGCCTTGTGGAACAGAGCTTTTCACCGTAGCTGCCTCGGACTTTACTCTGTTGACGACTACTCTCTGTGTTCTGTTAGTGAGGAAATTATAGATCCATCGACCGACTTTTCCTGTTATTCCTTTAGCACGCATTTTGTGCGCTATTACGCCATGGTCACACTTGTCGAAGGCTTTTGCAAAGTCTGTATATATTACATCTGCATTCTTTTTGTCTTCTAGTGCATTTAGGACCTTGTCGTAGTGGTCCAATAGTTGAGACAGACAGGAGCGACCTGTTCTAAACCATGTTGCCCTGGGTTGTGTAACTGATGGGTTTCTAGATGCGTGGTGATCTTGCTTCTTAGGACCCTTTCAAGATTTTTATGATATGGGATGTTAGTGCTATTGGTCTGTAGTTCTTTGCTGTTGCTTTACTGCCCCCCTTTTTGGGGGCAGTAAAGCAACAGCAAAGAACTACAGACCAATAGCACTAACATCCCATATCATAAAAATCTTTGAAAGGGTCCTAAGAAGCAAGATCACCACGCATCTAGAAACCCATCAGTTACACAACCCAGGGCAACATGGGTTTAGAACAGGTCGCTCCTGTCTGTCTCAACTATTGGACCACTACGACAAGGTCCTAAATGCACTAGAAGACAAAAAGAATATATACTGTATATATACTGCATATATACTGTATATGCAGTGATTGGAAATAAAGAATCTGAATCATGCCATATCTATTTTAAATCTTTTTTTTTTTTATATTACACTTAATTTCTTTTAAGTTATATTATATGTTATCTCTCCTGTTGCTTTTGATACTCAAAAACACTTATATTATATTTGCAGGCTGTGTGCAGTACTTCCCAGAAATTTGTAGTAACACACTGCTCTGGGTCAGGAAGATCAACACTGTTAACCTGACTGATGAAGTGTTGCTGACACCCAGCAACACATTACCGGAACAACAGCATTCTTTCATAGAACGACATTTGAAATATTTATTATATAACAATTTTCCTTTAGGGTCACCATTCACTTTAAAGCTTGGTGACAAGGTTTATCTTCCTTCATTAAATAATGCTGATATTTCATTCAGTGTGACCAGCTATAATATGTGTAATAAATCTAGGCCAAGTTCGCTACAAGGTGGAAGTTTAGTTGAAGACTTTAAAAACTTGAAACTAACTGGCAGTGATGATTTACTTTGAGAGTAGTGGAAGTATTCCACCACTTCTGGTGACAGTGGATGAGTGTGAAATATCAGTGATAAATAACTCTTCTACATCCATCACGAGCAGCGCTTTCCTCACTCTTGACGAGATTCGTTCAGTTAGTGTGGCGTCAGACAGCAGTGTCTATGACAACAATGTGTTAACCTCCACATCCAAGAAAGTGATCACCAGTGACAGTAACTCGCGTAGATCATTTACCTCAAAGACTGATAATAAGGAAATCTCTCTTTCTGAAAAAGATCAATCTCAAATTAATGGAGGTGATTGTTGCAAACAAAGCTGTGGTTGGATTAGAACTGGACTGCAAACAAAAGTTAAATTACAACAGTTAAAGAAGAGTGATGATGCTGCTGAACCTGCCGCTGCTCAAGTGGTGCCGAAGCGGACATATTGCAGCAATGCTGCATATACCTCACTTTTGAAAATTATGCAGACTAAACTCAACATTAAATTCAAAGGTAAATACTTTTTTATCTTCAATTTTAAAAAAGTTTTTGCAGATATACACATTAAACTGTGATATCTTAAAGGAGGTTCCTTGATGTTAGTGAGGGGCTCTTGATGCAAGAATTGAAAATTGTCTTTACTTTTTTCTGTCTTTTTTTCTGTTTCATAAACATGCAAGATTTCAGGTACGTCTTGCTACTTCTACTTACCCTTAGGTCACACTACACATGCATGTACAAGCATATATATACATGCTCCTCTGGGTTTTCTTCTATTTTCTTTCTAGTTCTTGTTCTTGTTTAGTTCCTCTTATCTCCATGGGGAAGTGGAACAGAATTCTTCCTCCGTAAGCCATGCATGTTGTAAGAGGTGACTGAGATGCTGGGAGCAAGGGGCTAATAACCCCTTCTCCTGTATAAATTGCTAAATTTAAAAAGAGAAGCTCTCGTTTTTCTTTTTGGGCCACCCCGCCTCAGTGGGATACGACCGGTTTGTTGAAAGAAGAAAGATTGTAGAATATTTTGTCAAGAAAACTGGAAATATTTCTGTTGGCATGTGAGGCTTAGTCAAAGATAACTAACTGCTTGTTATAATTGCTGTGACTGTTGACTTGCTAATAATACTTGACTGTTGACATGTTAGTAACACCTGACTGTTGACCTGTTAGTAACACCTGACTGTCGACCTGTTAGTAACACTTGACTGTTGACCTGTTAGTAACACTTGACTGTTGACCTGTTAGTAACACCTGACTGTTGACCTGTTAGTAACACCTGACTGTTAAGCACTTAATCTCCTTTGTTTCACTAATTTATTGACTTTATTCGGTAAAGCTTTTGAGGCAGTTGATCATGATAAGGAATACCATATTATTTATGAGAATTTTAGTAAAGCATTTGATAACATACCACACAAAAGACTTTTAGAGAAAGTGGCAGCACATGGTATTGAGGGGAAAGTCTTGTCATGGATCAAGGAATGGCTCACCAACAGGAAGCAGAGAGTCTGCATAAATGGGGTGAAATCTGAGTGAGGATCCTTGTGGCATTCCACGAGGATCAGTTTAAGGTCCATTGTTGTTCATAATGTACGTTAATGACTTTGATGAGGGAATAACAAGTGATATAAGCAAATTCACTGATGATACAAAAATAGGCAAGGTAATTGATTCAGAGGAAGATTTCACTTTACTTCAGGCTGCAGTTCAGTGTAGATAAATGCAAAGTCCTGAAGCTCGGGAATATAAACAACCCTAGCACTTATAAACTAAATAATGTAGAATTTGATCATACAGAATTCGATAAGAACTTGGGAGTTATGGAAAGCAAGAACCTGAATCCAAGACAGTAATGCCTAAGCATATGTAATAAGGCAAACAGATTACTGGGATTTATATCAAGAAGTATTAGCAACAGGAATCCAGAGGTTATACTACAGCTCTACACATTGTTAGTAAGGCCTCATTTAGATTATGCAGCTCAGTTCTGACCCCTTCTGTATACATTATTAAAGTTAAAGAGAGAAACTTTTGTTTTTCTTTTTGGGCCACCCCGCCTCGGTGGGAAACTGCTGGTTTGTTGAAGGAAGCTCAATTCTGGTCTCCATACTACAGAATGGATATAATTTCATTAGGAAACATTCAGAGAAGAATGAAAAATTATTCCATTGCAAAAGAAATCTTCCATCCGAAGAAAGATTGAAATCCCTTAGCGTACATTCTCTTGTAAGACAAAGAATGGGGGAAGACATGATTGAAGTGTATAAGTGGAAGATGGACATAAACAAAGGAGATATAAATAAGGTCCTGAGGATATCCCTTCAAGTAAGAATTCAAAATAATGGATTCAGATTGAATAAGTTTATATATAGGAAGGATATAGGAAAGTGTTGTTTTGGAAATGGTGTAGTCAGTGAATGGAACACTCTACCTAGTAGGGTAATTGAAGCTGAAACCTTGGGCAGCTTTAAATATAGGTTAGATAAATACACGAGTGTCTTCATGGGGAAGTGAAACAGAATTCTTCCTCTGTAACCCATGTGTGTTGTAAGAGGCAACTAAAATGCTGGAAGCAAGGGCTAGTAACCCCTTCTCCCATATACATTGCTAAATTTAAAAAGAGAAACTTTCATTTTTCTCTTTCGGTCACCTTGCCTTGGTGGGATGTGGCCGGTTCATTGAAAAAAAAAAAATACACGAGAGAGGGGTTGAATTTAAGTGGGACTTGCACACGAGTTAATAGGGTTATCAAAGCTTATTTTTGGGTAGCAAATATTTTTGGTAATGGTCTGAGTCTGAGAATTGTGTGTTTAGTATGGGCCAGTAGGCCTGCTGCAGTGTTCCTCCTTATGTTCTTGTGTGGTGGTCACTTGCCCGAGGTCTATCATTACTTTATTAGTCTGCTCAGTCAAAAATTAACTATGATATTGTAAGATGTGATATTGTAGTCTTTTTATTCATTACAGTGGACCCCCGCATAACGATGGCATCACATAGCGATTAATCCGCATACCGCTTACTTTAATCGCAAAAATTTTGCCGCGCATACCGATTAAAAACCCGCTCACCGATTTTCGTCCGAGACGCGTCCAATGTGCGCCCTCAGCCAGCCTCACATGTGCCGCCCGTGCCATTGTTTACCAGCCAGCCTCCGCGGTAACATCCAAGCATACACTCGGAATATTTCGTATTATTACAGTGTTTTCGGTGCTGTTTCTGGAAAATAAGTGACCATGGGCCCCAAGAAAGCTTCTAGTGCCAACCGTACACCAATAAGGGTGAGAATTCCCATTGAAATGAAGAAAGAGATCATTGATAAGTATGAAAGTGGAGTGCGTATCGCCGACCTAGTCAAATTGTACAAGAAACCCCAATCAACCATCGCTACTATTGTGGGCACCAGAAAGACAATCAAGGAAGCTGTTCTTGCACAAAGGTTTAACTGTGTTTTCGAAACAAAGATCGCAAGTGATGGAAGATGTTGAGAGACTCTTATTGGTGTGGATAAATGAAAAACAGCTAGCAGGAGATAGCGTCTCTCAAGCGATCATATGTGAAAAGGCTAGGAAGTTGCATGAGGATTTAATTAAAAAAATGCCTGCAACTAGTGATGATGTGAGTGAATTTAAGGCCAGCAAAGGTTGGTTTTGAGAGATTTAAGAAGCGTAGTGGCATCCATAGTGTGATAAGGCATGGTGAGGCTGCCAGTTCGGACCACAAAGCGGCTGAAAAATATGTGCAGGAATTCAATTAGTACATAGACAGTGAAGGACTGAAACCTGAACAAGTGTTTAATTGTGATGAAACAGGCCTGTTCTGGAAGAAAAATGCCAAGCAGGACCTACATTACTCAGGAGGAAAAGGCACTCCCAGGACATAAGCCTATGAAAGACAGGCTTACTCTTCTCATGTGTGCCAATGCTACTGGTGATTGCAAAGTGAAGCCTTTATTAGTGTATCACTCTGAAACTCCCAGAGCGTTCAGGCAAAAGAATGTCCTCAAGGATAATTTGTGTGTGCTGTGGGGGCAAACAGTAAGGCATGGGTCACTAGGGACTTTTTCTATAACTGGTTACACCATGCATTTGCCCCCTATGTGAAAGATTACCTAACTGAAAGAAATTAGAACTTAAGTGCCTCCTGGTGTTAGACAATGCCCCTGGTCATCCTACAGACGTGGCAGAGCGACTTTATGGGGACATGAGCTTCATTAAGGTGAAGTTTTTGCCTCCTAATACCACTCCTCTCCTGCAGCCCATGGACCAGCAGGTTATTGCAAACTTCAAAAAAACTGTACACAAAAGCTCTGTTTGAAAGGTGCTTTGTAGTGACCTCAGAAACTCAACTGACTCTAAGAGACTTTTGGAGAGAGCACTTTAATATCCTCAATTGTGTAAACCTTATAGGTAAGGCTTGGGAGGGAGTGACTAAGAAGACCTTGAACTCTGCTTGGAAGAAACTGTGGCCAGAATGTGTAGACAAAAGGGATTTTGAAGGGTTTGAGGCTAACCCTGAGATGATTATGCCACTTGAGGAATCCATTGTGGCATTGGGGTTGGAGGTTAGTGGGGAGGATGTGGAAGAGTTGGTGGAGGAGGACAATGAAGAACTAACCACTGATGAGCTGATAGATCAACTTCAAGAGCAAGAGGCCAGACCTGGGGAAACTGGTTCAGAGGAGGGGAGAGAGAAATTGAAGAAGTTGCCTACTACAAAGATTAAGGAAATCTGTGCAAAGTGGCTTGAAGTGCAAACCTTCATGGATGAAAATCACCCTCACACAGCTATTGCAAGCCGTGCTGGTGATTATTACACTGACAATGTTGTGAAACACTTTAGGCAAGTCATAAAGGAACGAGAGGTACAGGCCACTATGGACAGATATCTTGTGCGAAAGAAGTCCAGTGACTCTGAAGCTGGCCCTAGTGGCATTAAAAGAAGAAGGGAAGTAACCCCAGAAAAGGACTTGCTACCTCAAGTCCTAATGGAAGGGGATTCCCCTTCTAAACACTAACACTCTCTCTCCCCTCCTCCCATCCCATCAATCATCACCAGATCTTCAATAAAAGTAAGTGTCATGTAAGTGTGCATGCCTTTTTCAGTTTGTGTGTATTAAAATTAACATTTCATGTGGTAAAAAATTTTTTTTTTCATACTTTTGGGTGTCTTGCACGGATTAATTTTATTTCCATTATTTCTTATGGGGAAAATTCATTCACATAACGATTATTTCGCATAACAATTACCCCTCTTGCACGGATTAAAATCGTTATCCGGGGGTCCACTGTATTAATTATTGTTTCAGAAAATAGTCTGCTTGGAGGTTGGAATGGCATACTTGTGTGTGGAGCTTCAGGTACAGGCAAGACTATGATGTTACATAAAGCAGCAGCTGAGTTGGACCTGCCAGTGGTGAACCTCACACTGGCTGAGGTCACTAGAGCATCAGTAACTCCTGAAGATTGTGTCCGCAACAAGTTTTTATTGGCTCGACAATGGTGGACGAAATTTTTCTATGTACAGTGAAAGCATATGTATGTATGTGTGTGTGTGTGTGTGTGTGTACTCACCTAGTTGAGCTTGCGGGGGTCGAGTCTGAGCTCCTGGCCCCGCCTCTTCACTGATCGCTACTAGGTCACTCTCTCTGAACCGTGAGCTTTATCATACCTCTGCTTAAAGCTATGTATGGATCCTGCCTCCACTACATCGCTTCCCAAACTATTCCACTTACTGACTACTCTGTGGCTGAAGAAATACTTCCTAACATCCCTGTGATTCATCTGTGTCTTCAACTTCCAACTGTGTCCCCTTGTTACTGTGTCCAATCTCTGGAACATCCTGTCTTGTCCACCTTGTCAATTCCTCTCAGTATTTGTATGTCGTTATCATGTCCCCCCTATCTCTCCTGTCCTCCAGTGTCATCAGGTTGATTTCCCTTAACCTCTCCTCGTAGGACATACCTCTTAGCTCTGGGACTAGTCTGTTGCAAACCTTTGCACTTTCTCTAGTTTCTTTACGTGCTTGGCTAGGTGTGGGTTCTAAACTGGTGCCGCATACTCCAATATGGGCCTAACGTACACGGTGTACAGGGTCCTGAACGATTCCTTATTAAGATGTCAGAATGCTGTTCTGAGGTTTGCTAGGCGCCCATATGCTGCAGCAGTTATTTGATTGATGTGCGCTTCAGGAGATGTGCCTGGTGTTATACTCACCCCAAGATCTTTTTCCTTGAGTGAGGTTTGTAGTCTTTGGCCCCCTAGACTGTACTCTGTCTGCGGTCTTCTTTGCCCTTCCCCAATCTTCATGACTTTGCACTTGGTGGGATTGAACTCCAGGAGCCAATTGCTGGACCAGGTCTGCAGCCTGTCCAGATCCCTTTGTAGTTCTGCCTGGTCTTTGATCGAGTGAATTCTCATCAACTTCACGTCATCTGCAAACAGGACACCTCAGAGTCTATTCCTTCCGTCATGTCGTTTCACAAATACCAGAAACAGCACTGGTCCTAGGACTGACCCCTGTGGGACACCCGCTGGTCACAGGTGCCCACTTTGACACCTCGCCACGTACCATGACTCGCTGCTGTCTTCCTGACAAGTATTCCCTGATCCATTGTAGTGCCTTCCCTGTTATTCCTGCTTGGTCCTCCAGTTTTTGCACCAATCTCTTGTGTGGAACTGTGTCCAAACGCCTTCTTGCAGTCCAAGAATATGCAATCCACCCACCCCTCTCTCTCTTGTCTTACTGCTGTCACCATGTCATAGAACTCCAGTAGGTTTGTGACACAGGATTTCCCGTCCCTGAAACCATGTTGGCTGCTGTTGAGGAGATCATATTCCTTTCTAGGTGTTCCACCACTCTTCTCCTGATAATCTTCTCCATGATTTTGCATACTATACATGTCAGTGACACTGGTCTGTAGTTTAATGCTTCATGTCTGTCTCCTTTTTTAAAGATTGGGACTACATTTGCTGTCTTCCATGCTTCAGGCAATCTCCCTGTTTCGATAGATGTATTGAATATTGTTGTTAGGGGTACACATAGCGCCTCTGCTCCCTTTCTCAATACCCATGGGGAGATGTTATCTGGCCCCATTGCCTTTGAGGTATCTAGCTCACTCAGAAGCCTCTTCACTTCTTCCTCGGTTGTGTGCACTGTTCCAGCACATGGTGGTGTGCCCCACCTCTCCGTCTTTCTGGAGCCCCTTCTGTCTCCTCTGTGAACACTTCTTTGAATCTCTTGTCGAGTTCCTCACATACTTCACGGTCATTTCTTGTTGTCTCTCCTCCTTCCTTAGCCTGATTACCTGGTTCTTGACTGTTGTTTTCCTCCTGATGTGGCTGTACAACAGTTTCGGGTCAGATTTGGCTTTCGCTGCTATGTCATTTTCATATTGTCTTTGGGACTCCCTTCTTATCTGTGCATATTCGTTTCTGGCTCTATGACTGCTCTCCTTATTCTCCTGGTCCTTTGCCTTCTATATTTCTTCCATTCCCTAGCACACTTGGTTTTTTGCCTCCCTGCACCTTTGGTAAACCATGGGCTCATCCTGGCTTTTTCATTATTCCTGTTACCCTTGGGTACAAACCTCTCCTCAGGCCTCCTTGCATTTTGTTGCTACATATTCCCATCATCTCATTAACTGGCTTCCCTGCCACTTCTCTGTCCCACTGAACCCTGTTTCAGGAAGTTCCTCATTCCTGTGTAGTCCCCCTTTCTTGTAGTTTGGCTTCATTCGTCCTGGCCTTCCTGCTTCTCCCTCCACTTGTAGCTCTACTGTGTATTCGAAGCTTAAAACCACATGGTCACTGGCCCCAAGGGGTCTTTCATATGTGATGTCCTCGATATCTGCACTACTCAAGGTGAAATACTAAGTCTAGCCTTGCTGGTTCATCCTCTCCTCTCTCTCTTGTAGTGTCCCTTACGGTGTTGGTACATGAAGTTTTTCCAGTACCAACCTCCATCATCTTAGCCCTCCATGTATCTTGGCCCCCATGTGGGTCCAAGTTCTCCCAATCGATCTCCTTGTGGTTAAAGTCACCCATGATCAGGAGCTTTGCCCTGCATGCATGAGCTCTTCTGGCCACTCTAGCCAGTGTGTCAACCATCGCTCTATTGCTCTCGTCGTACTCTTGCCTTGGCCTCCTGCTGTTCTGTGGTGGTTTATTTACTCACTGCTATTACCACCTTGGGACCTCCAGAATGAAGCGTTCCCGCTATGTAATCACTTTCTTCTCCGCTGTCTACCTCTCCTCCAGCTCATCAAAATTCCAGCGATTTTTGATCAGCAATGCCACTCCTACACCCCCCCTGTTCCCTCTGTCTTTCCTCAGGATTTGGTATCCCATTGGAAAGATGGCATCTGTTATCATACCTGTAAGCTTGGTTTCTGTGAGAGCTATGATGTCCGGTGATGCCTCTTTGACTCTTTCATGCCACTCCTCCCACTTATTTGTTATACCATCAGCGTTTGTGTGTGTGTGTGTGTGTGTGTGTGTGTGTGTGTACTCGCCTAATTGTACTCACCTAATTGTGGTTGCAGGGGTCGAGACTCAGCTCCTGGCCCTGCCTCTTCACTGATCGCTACTAGGTCCTCTCCCTCTGTGCTTCCTGAGCTTTGTCATACCTCTTCTTAAAACTATGTATGGTTCCTGCCTCCACTACTTCACTTGCTAGGCTATTCCACTTCCTGACAACTCTATGACTGAAGAAATACTTTCTAACGTCCCTGTGACTCGTCTGAGTCTTCAGCTTCCAGTTGTGACCCCTTGTTTCTGTGTCCCCTCTCTGGAACATCTATCTCTGTCCACCTTGTCTATTCCCCGCAGTATTTTGGGTATGTCGTTATCCATGCCCCCCTGACTCTTCTGTCCTCCAGTGTCGTCAGTTGATTTCCCTCAACCTTTTCTCATACGACATTCCCCTGACTCGGGGACTAGCCTTGTTGCAAACCTTTGTACTTTCTCTAACTTCTTGACGTGTTTTGACCGGGTGTGGGTTCCAGACTGGTGCTGCATACTCCAGTATGGGCCTAACATACACAGTGTACAGTGTCTTGAACGATTCCTTATTAAGGTAACGGAACGCTTTTCCCCGGGTTTTTGCCAGGCGCCCGTATGCTTGCAGCAGTTATTTGGTTGATGTGTGCCCTTTCCGGTGACGTGCTCGGTGTTAGGGTCACCCCAAGGTCTTTCTCCCTGAGTGAGGTCTGTAGCCCTTTGTCCACCTAGCCTATGGGTCTGCGGTCTTCTTTGCCCCTCCCCAATCTTCATGACTTTGCTTTTGGGCAGGGTTGAATTCGAGAAGCCAGTTTCTGGACCACATGTCCACCTATCCGGGTCTTTTTGCAGCCCTGCCTCATCCTCATCCGATTTAATTCTTCTAATCAACTTCACATCATCTGCGAATGGGGACACTTCAGAGTCTTTTTCCTTCCATCATGTCGTTCGCATATATCAAAAATAGCACGGGTCCTAAACTGACCCCTGTGGGATCCCGCTCATCACAGGCGCCTACTGTGAAAACCTCTTCACGAAACCATGACTCGTTTTGTTGCCTTCCTGTCAGGTATTCCCTGATCCATTGCAGTGCCCTCCCTGTTATATGCGCCTGATCCTTCAGCTTCTGCACTAATTTTTATGGGGAACTGTGTCAAAGGCCTTCCTGCAGTCTAGGAAAACACAATCAACCCACCCCCTCTCTCGTGTCTTACTTTTTTTACCTTGTCATAAAAAACTCCAGGAGGTTTGTGACACAGGATTTGCCTTCCATGAACCCATGCTGTTTTCCATTTATAATCTTTTTCCATTCCAGGTGTTCCACCACTCTCCTCCTGATAATCTTTTCCCTGACTTTGCACACAATACATGTCAAGAGACAGGTCTGTAGTTTTAGTGCCTCAATTTCTGTTTCCTTTCTTTAAAAAAAGGGGACTACATTTGCTGTTTTTCCATTTCTCAGTAGTTGCCCAGTTCAAGGGATGTGTTGAAGATGTGGTTAGGGGCATGCACAGCATCCCCTGCTCCTTCTCTAAGGAACCCATGGGAGATGTTTTTCTGGTCCCATCGCCTTTGAGGTATCAAGGTCACTTAGCAGCTTCTGCACCTCCTCCTCGGTTGTTCGTATGTCATCCAACACTTCTTGGTATTTCCCTCTTGATGTTCCCTTCTTTGCTGTCTTCCTAAAGCCCCTTTCCCGTCTCTACTGTAAAAACTTTCCCTTAAATCTCGTGTTTAGCTCCTCACATACCTCCTGATCATTTTTGTGAGTTCTCCACCTTCTGTCCTCAATCTGATCACCTGGTCTTTGACTGTTGTCTTCCTCCTGATGTTTGGGCCCAATTTCAACGTTTTGGGTCAGTTCCTTGATTTTCGATGCTATGTTATTTTCATACTGTCGCTGGGCCTCCCCCCTTACCTGTGCATACTCGTTGCTGGCTCGTGACTGATCTCCCTATTTTCCCTGTGTTCTCTGCCTTCTGTATTTTTCCATTCTCTATTGC